TGGCGATGCTTCACCTTCCACCCCAAGCGCCCACCTCTGTCCCGACCAGAGAGAAAGCAGCGCAGCCATTGAGGACTGTGCCCTGGATCCCCACGTCGGCAAGGCCCGGTGGTCAGAAGTTCGTGATCGACCATGTCGCGAGCTGACAGATCTAGAAGAATCAGCAGCCCCGACCCACCTCGATCCAGCTGTCTACGAAGATCATCTGTTAGGGCAACCAGAGCCGTCTCGGTCCCATGACCAGCGCGGAAGCCGGACTGGAATGGATGGATGTCCCTTAAATTTCCCGGGTTTCAAAGGAAGCAGCTCCTCTCCCTCCCTCCCTGACGGCCAGGGAGGAGGGAGGCTCCAACTGTGTTGCTTGGCTGCCCGGCCCGCCCCCCTCCGGCCTCCTCTCGCCAGCCTCGGCCCCCGGGAGCCCCTCCCTGCCGGGACTGGTGGGAGCCTCGGGTCCTTCTGCCGCCATCCTCCTCGCGGCCACCGAACCGAGCGTCTCTGCCTGGGGCTTCCCCTCTGCCCGTCGCCGCTGCTCCCACTAGGCCATACTGCGGCTGTGCCGCCGAAGGACCCAGATGAGATGGGCAGCCTGGCATGGTCTATGAATTGATGAGGAGCCTTGAGAGGAGAGCGAGGGCAACCATAGAGAAAGCAGTTCAGAGAGAGGAGGAAGAGGAGGAGGCGGAGGCGCGGGCAGGTGTTCCAAGGGCTACAAGGGAAGGACCGCAAGCGCTTCTCCCATAGATTTGTAGTGGTAGACTAGCATAGATGGTCTGATCTGCGGGTTTACTTCGGGCGCTATTTCCCCCCCCTCTTCCTCCCACCCCGCCTGATGGAACTGATAGCTGCAGATGGAGCACGAGAGAAAAGATACAGAACTGCAGCAGCATCTTCGTAGCTTGGACTTCCTTTTGCGCGAAAAGTGGTTGCTGCTTGTAGTTATTTCATCGGCTGGTGTCTTGAGCAGCAACCTCTGGAAACGAAGGGCTAAAAACCAGCGCTGCTCTCCAAAATTATCTGGTCCCTTTTAACTGGTTGACTAAAATCCCTTATTTTGGCTGCTGGTCCCTTATTTTCAAATCTGTAAGTTGACAGCTATGCATTAGTCACATGCAAGGAAGGATGCTCCAGGCTAGAAGGAACAGGAAGTTTCGACTGGCTGCACCAAACATTCCCTTGCATGTCCACTCTAGCAAAACAAGGAATGTTGTACTTGACTGCTCTCCATGGATTACATCCTGCACTGGTTTCCCACCGGCATCCGGTTGGCCACTGTGAGAACAGGATGCTGGACTCAACGGGCCATTGGCCTCATCCCGCAGGCTCTTCCCACATTCTTTATATCCAAAAGGCCAGTGACTTTTTTGGAATGAAAGAATGCCGTTTCACAAAACCCCAGCGCTCCCCTGCCCCTCGTGAAAGAATAATACGGCCTGTTTCTACCTTGGCCGCTAATAGTCCCTTTAACTCTTTTAGGAAAAGGCCCTTCCTTTCTGCTGCCTCATCAGGATTTTCTGCTTCTCGTGGCTTCTACTGTGAAAAAAAAAAGAAAATAATTGATGCTGATTCAGCTCACTGCTTGCTTCTAGCTTAACTTCCAGGAGCCCAGTGCTGCAGTCTTTGAATGCCAAACATTTCCGAGGCCAGATTTGTTCCAACAGCTCCCTTTCATCCAAGTTTTATTTTTTCTTTTGCAAAACTACTGTATTTTCTGGCGTATAAGACTACTTTTTAACCCAAGAAAATCTTCTCAAAAGTCGGGGGTCGTCTTATACGCCGGCTACAGCAGCAGCTTCTGTAGCAACTCCCCACCAAAGGATAAAACAACAGCAAATTAAATCAGAGGACACCAAGCTCTCTAGATGACGCTTGAAAATTGGCCCCAGAAGCCCCCGGCTATTGGGAAGTGGAGCAGATTTCTGAGCCAGACTGGAGACTGTTTATTATTATTATTATTATTATTATTATTATTTGGGGTGCATTGGAAGAGCGGTAGTCTTATACGGCGAGTATATCCCAAACTCTATATTTTAACTGGAAAAGTTGGGGGGTCGTCTTATATGCCCAGTCGTCTTATACGCCGGAAAATACGGTACCTCCCGCTCCATGAATTTGGCTAACCCTCTTTTAAAGCCATCCAAGGCAGTGAGGGCCACTGTGGGAGGGAGTTCCACCGTATAACCATGTGCTCTGTGAAAAAGCCCTTCTTTTCTTTTGTCCTGAATCTTCCCACATTCAGCCTCCTTGCGTGTCCACGAGTTCCAGTGTTAGGAGAGGGGGAGAAAATCATTTCTCAACCCTACGCCATGCATAATTTCATAAACTACTATCGTGAGTTTTTAAAAAATTACGTTAAGGGGTAAAAATCTATTTTAAAAATGACTGTATGAGATAAATGCTAAGCATTTATCCCTTTGCACCTTTAATAGTCTAGCATTTTGGGTGGTGCAGAATTTAGTGTCATGGGGAAAAGAAACAACCCAATCAATCAATTTCATTTCTGTCCTGCCTTTTTTTAAAAAAAAACCACAGAACTCACATGGTCCAGACTCTCCAAGTGTCCTTATTTTCCAGAGATAGTCCTGGATTTATAGAAGCCAGCCCAGCTTCCCATTTGATCTCGGAATGTCCCGGTTTTCCTTAGGGCAGTGATGTCCAAACTTTTTTCAAAGAGGGCCAGATTTGATAAAGTGAAGGGCCGTTAGGGCCGACCAAAGTTGTTGAGCTTTTTTAGGATTTAAAACGCCATAGGGGATGGATTAAACCAATCAGGGGGCACCACTGCCTTAGAAGTGTTGGAGGCCAAGGAGTTATGTGACCCCCCTGAGCCAAGGAGTTAAGTAACTATGCAACCTTTAGAAAACATCTGAAGGCAACCCTGCAACGCTTAATGTTTTATTATGCTTTTATGTATATACAGTGGTACCTCGGGTTACATACGCTTCAGGTTACAGACTCCGCTAACCCAAAAATAGTGCTTCAGGTTAAGAACTTTGCTTCAGGATGAAAACAGAAATCGTGCAGCGGCAGCAGGAGGCCCCATTAGTTAAAGTGGTGCTTCAGGTTAAGAACAGTTTCAGGTTAAGTACAGAATGAATTAAGTTCTTAACCTGAGGTACCACTGTATGTTGGAAACAGATTGGCTGGGGCAACCCAGTCAGATGGGCGGAGTATAAATAATAAAATTATGTTTATTTTTATTATTATGGAATAAAGGTAAAGGGACCCCTGACCATTAGGTCCAGTCATGGCCGACTCTGGGGTTGTGGCGCTCATCTTGCTTTATTGGCCGAGGGAGCCGGCGTACAGCTTCCGGGTCATGTGGCCAGCATGACTAAACCACTTCTGGCGAACCAGAGCAGCTCATGGAAACACCGTTTACCTTCCCGCCAGAGCGGTACCTATTTATCTACTTGCACTTTGACATGCTTTTGAACTGCTAGGTTGGCAGGATTCGAACCACTGACCTTCTGATCGACAAGTCCTAAGCTCTGTGGTTTAACCTACAGCGCCACCCGCGTCCCTTTTATTATGGAATAGGATGTCCTATTTTCATCGGAGAAATGTTGGTGTGATGGTCCTGCCTCTCCCATTTTTCACCCTCACAAAAATCGTGCAACGTACCTCAGGCTACAAGACATTTACAGACCTAGGGAGCTTTGTGACTGATTGGGGATCTGAACTTGGATGTCGTTGCCCCATTAAGCTTACCGTATTTTTCGCTCTATAACACGCACCCAACCATAACACGCACATAGTTTTTAGAGGAGGAAAATCCGTAGGCATGCCACCCGTAGGCATTTCCTCCATAAAACGCACAGACATTTCTCCTTACTTTCTAGGAGGAAAAAAGTGAGTGTTATGGTGCAAAAAATACGGTATATTTCAATGTGCCTGGTCTCTCTGTATCCCCCTTGCCCTGAGAGGCTTGTTGATGTGGCCTCACACCAATATGGACTTTGCCTGGGGTTTCTTTGGAACCTGATCCATGCAGAAGTCGACCAGGAGCCACAAAGCTTTGGCAGCTTTCCTGCCAAAGAGAAATCATCGCTCAAGCCCCTATTAATGATGATAATAGCAACCCTCTGCAGGAGAGTGTAAATCCTACATAACAAACCTCTGGAAAGAGAAAGGAAAAATAGGACGGGGGTGGGGGGGACCTCAATGCGTCTGCAAACCAGGTAATTTGACATTCTGTTGCTAGCAGCCCTGTTGCAGTATTAATAATCTTTGGGTGTAAAATTACTGCATTTTAAAATTTCATTACATCTTTATGTCACGGGACATAAAGCAGAAGAAAACTTAATTAAATTACCTAAAATTATTGCCTCAGCCACTTGCCAGAAGAGACGGGAATGCACAAGGGGGAATAGCGTGTGCGTTTGTAGGAGGCTTGGCTGCAACAGTGTTAAACTGCAAGTTCTAAGATTGTGTGTGTTTTTATTGAAAATGCAAAGCCTGCCACAAAGGTCCTATTTACCTCCACAAAGGGGCTCCACCCCGAAACGCGACACCACCCACGTTTTATGGATCAAAACAGGCTGCAAAATAACTGCTAGGCCCCATCAACAGCCTAGGTCCAAAGAAGCCAGAAGCCAAGCAACTATTTTTATTGTTTAAAAAACATGTATTTATTGATTTCACACAAAAAAGCCCTTTACAAATTTTAACATAAACTGTAAGTTACTTTATACATTGATTCCCTGTCCTCCCCTTCCATGGTTTACATATTTACCCTTGAAAAATTATTTTTAATAAAAGAATTACAACTATAAAGAAATAAAGTGATGGGAAGGGGGGAAGGGAGGGGGGAAAGAACAAAGATGCTTATAAAAAAGAAGGGGAAAAAATAATATACAAAATGCTATCTAGTATAGTGTTATCTACCCTTGAATGCTAAATATTTTGCCTATACTATTCGAGACATCCATTTTAACCTATCTATCTTACTAAAAAAAGTCCTGCTTGCTGTTTTAAGTCCCGAAAGAGTAAAAAAAAAGTGTTCAATCCTCAAATACACTGCCAGGTGGAGGGTTGATGTTGCAGGTGTCATCTTCAGGGGGCTCCTTTCCCAGCTGATGACATTCTTGCAGGGGTCTTCTTTTCTCTGGACGTCTCCTCCCAGGCTCCAGCTGATAGGCCGCCGTTTCCCATCGTGGTTTTGTTCCATGCAGGAAAGAGAGAAAAGAGATTCTGTTAGAAAGGGTACTAAATCTCATGAATGTTAGACCCTCTAGTTGCCCCCTAAATAATCCCTGCTGTTGGTGAATAAAGAATTAAAAAAGGAGGTGTTTTCTAATAAAGAAAAGGACGAAAGTTGCTGCTGGGGGGGTTGTTTGCCCCCCCCCCCACTCAAGAGAACGGCAGAGAGTCCTGCAAGGAACCGGACCCTGGGCGGACACCAGCGACTGGGGGAGCTCCATAACGCCTGCCTGTCCTGGGGGCGGGACCCCCAAGAAAGGGGAAACAACAAAGGTAAGATCGTCCCTCTGGGGACGGCACGTAGGGGGTGGGACCAGATTGTGGGCCAGCCCCCATGTGTTAACATGACTATTTTAACAAGGATGGGGTTTTATCTTGGGTGGGTGCTGTTTGATTTGCAGGGTGGGGTTGTTTCAAATGGTTGCTAAATGTGATATGTTGATTGAGATTGTGTGTTTGTGGGCTGGAGTGTTGTTTTGGGGCTTTTGTATTGTTTATTCGTGTGCATATGTTTTTTATTTTAATTTATATTATGTTCTGATATTTTTATTACAGATTTTGTGCAGGGATTATTTTTATCATGTATTTTGTGCTTCGTATACTGTAACTTGGTGTTGTGAACCACCCTGAGATTCAAAATCAATCAATAAAATCAAGAATCAAAAACAACATTAACAAGAAACACAACAAGAACAAAAAGGTTTCCTACCGCTATGTACGGAGGGTTGTGATGGTAGCACCCCTCCTCTTGGTCGATCCTGATGGCGTTGATGTTCCTGGCGCTGGTGCAGACTGATATCTCTGCAGCACAACTCTGGTGTCCACGTTGCCTTGGCCTGGCGCTACTGCAGATGTTCTGTCAGGAGGAGAAAGGGGCTCCTTGAGAAACGTCACCTCCAAACAGCCCACCAGATGTCCCAATAGCCCACCAGATGCCTCACTCACCTGGCATGCAGCTCAGGAAGTCCTGCGGGTAAGGTTCCCTGTGAACACAGCGGAGCAGCCTCCGCACCAGCTCCGGTGGAATTGAGGACCTTCTGAGTTCTGATGATGAGTGTTTGGTTCCTTGAAGTTCGTGCCAGCGTCTCTGCAAAGGAAAGCCAAAAGGTTAGTTCGGGTCTTGCCCATCCCACCCCATGCTGGGATGCATTCTTCCAGTCTTACCTTCGTTGCGCTGCAGGATGGGCAAAAGATGGCAGAGGGCCTCTGCTGCCCGCTGCCTGCTCTCCGGGTCTGGATCCAATGCACAAAGTCAGGAAATCGCCACCAGTTGGCCAAGGGAGGATGCAGAAAGCGCTACCGATGGCTGAGAAGAAACCCAGAGAAGGGACTGATAAGAGAAGCAACCCATCACCATTTTTCCTATAACATTTTTATTAAATCTTCCAAACATTCCAAAACATTTAGCATCCTATACAGAAAAAAAACCATTTCTTTTTGACTTCCCACCCCTCTTTTCCTGATGTTCGCTTTTTACTTCTTTTCTCAGCTGTTTTACTCACTGGGATTCATTCTGCTATGGCCCAGCTCTGTTCTCCAAATTGAGTATGTGCTGGGATGCCTGATTGTCCCTTGGGCACCTTGCAGGGTGGGCCTAGAAGCAGCAGCCCGAAGGCCTTGACAGCCCTGCATGATTGCAATTCTTCCCTTCAGAAACTCACAGATTCCTGGATCTTCTGCAGGAAGGCGGAAAGATCTTGGAGCACCTTCCTTCGGATCTTCCCACTCTTCATCGTTGCAACGACATCCGTAAGTCTGGCCTTCAGCTGGTCCTTGCTGACGCTTTCAGGAGGAAGATCAGCCGCATCCGGAAAAGCTGTGGTTGGGATGCTGAGGGGAGAGAGGAGAAGCACTTTTGTAAAATGGTTTTATTGCCTCCCATCCTTCAAAGACCCCAAGCACCACCACCATAGAAATGGACCGGGGGGCTTTTGAAAGCAATAGATTATGGGGGAGGGGGAGTTAGCACAGGATTACCTTGGAGGAAGATCCTCTCCATCTTCCAGGCTGATTTCCGATATTTGATCCTCGTCGAAATCAATTCCCTGTCAGTGAGAAAAGAGAAACAGGAACGTCCGAATGTGAGGAGTGGATCAGACCCATTCATGTTTTTGTATTGATCAGGAAAGCGTAGGCAAGATAGGTTGGGAAACAAACTGAAAATCTCTGTCCTCCAGGGGGGCCACTAGGGGGCGCATCGGAAGATGGCTGACAATAACATCTCTCCGACCGACACGAGGTAATTTGGAGGCTATGATGGGAGTAATTAGCCTCCCTAACCCCCCCAGGACGGTGGGGGGGACTGCCCTTGCCTGCTGTGCCCTATACCACCCCCGAATTTGTGGGGATGGGGGCACTAGGCACAAAGCCCTCCGGTGGGATTCCGGCACTTCTGGACGCCGTCCCTGATTCGCGCCACTAGCTGCAAGAATTTCAAAAGAAAACAATTTGGATGAAGGAATGCACATATTTCAAGGAAGGAGGGGGAGTAAAGACTGCTATAGAAGAGATCTCTGATAAAACAAGACAAGAATAAAACATGAGAAGATACGCCAAGACACGGTATGGCAAAGGACTGATGGGGGAGGGGGGGAAAAAACTTTCCTTTCTTTTCTTATGTGATTAACAAGAATCCCCTCCCCTCACGAGTTACGAGTCAGAAATGTCGTTTTAAGGATTTAAGCTGTGGATTTAAGGCTGTGTGGAGATAAACTTTCGAACCAAAGCATGTTTTAAGAAGAGAGTGGAATGTATAAGAGCTTTGGAATGACACAGTTAAAAATGCCGTCGCCATATTGGGAAGTTCTGTCGGAGGTCTTGAGTCTGGGAGAAGAAAGAGAAATAGAGCTGTTTATATATTGTGGGTGGAACTCCTCAGAGGGACTTAAGAGCGACAGTTTTACGAGATTAATGATGGAAAGAGCAATGTTATCTATGAAGGCGATGATATATGGAAACCATCTCGATTTGAGGATTGGAAGAACGGAAAAATTCACACAGGATTATTATTGGTGTTTATCGGCTTAAGGAGACTATCAGAAGAGATCATAAAGAAAAAAGAGAAAATATGTGAACAAGATGTGATGTGGAAACAGTAAGATAAGACTGGATAGAATTATGAACTCTGTTTGGACTGATTTGGACATTAACGCAGTAGCAAGAAGATGCTCAGAATCCCCCTTCGAATCTTGAAATATGGGTCCCCCCAACAAAATTTAAAATTCGGCTTTGTAATTCGGAATTTATGTGATGTGATTTAATTTGATTTGATTGGCCGGTTAATAAAAATTTTTTTTTTTTAAAAAAAAGAAAATCTCTGTCCTCCATTTCCTTAGAGACCTTATTCATCCATTCATTCCTTTAGAGCATTTGTACCCCTCTCTTAAGCCAAAAAGGCTCCAAGAGAGCCTTCCATGAAATCAAATGCAAGAAACTCCCTAGTCACAGACTTCTGTTGTAAGAAACAATCTGACCAACAGAACACACAAGGAAAGGGGACAAGGAGGGCAGAGGAAAAGACAACTCACAAGCTCAGGCCCCAGGGTCTAGAATGCTGTTCTCATCTCTCCCACTGAGGCAGCCTGATGAAATGGCTGCCGCCAGATGACAGTTGGGGGAGAGGAAGCCTGAGGGAGCTGGCCTGTCTCAGCAGAGCCCATGGCATTGTTTCTCATCCGTCCTTCCTCCAGGAGCAGATCTCCGCCAGGGCTCCTGTCTCTCCCTTGCCTGCATCTGGGAGCAGCCCTTTCCTGTGATGGACTCTGTGGACAGGTGGGCAGCAGGGCTCCCTGCCTCAGCTCTGCAGAAAAACCAGAACCATCCGACACCCCCTTCCCCTCCACTGGGCCGGCCACTCATGCTCTCTTTTCTTCTTCTCTTTTTCCCTTTCCCTTCCAAACTATAGTACAAAGATAACATCCAGGATGTAGAAATAGAAATGAAGCCTCTCCCAGATTCACATGTACATAAATCAGAAGGAATCCTCTGTTTAAAATAATATTCAATCGACTGCAACATAGAACACTAAAATTTCCTTTTCGGCATTCCTTCTCCCCTTCCAAAAACCTGGGCAAAGCTCAACCCTTTCTTTGACTTTGGATAGCTCTTTGCCAGACTTGGTGATCCCATTAATCTAGGTTCTAGAGTTAAGTCCCCTGGCCATGGCAACCTCCACTTACCTCCAGGAGTCTTTGGGACGCCATCTTCTAATGTAGTGACTGAGCGAAGGTCATTGCAGGCCACCTCTGCAAACCTCGAGATGCTGAGGATGCAGGAAGCTCAGTTCAAACGGTCACAAGTTCCATTGTAGGCAACAGCCATTGAGAACATGGAATTCCCAGCCTGAGTGCCAAGGTTCTAGGAGAGTCTGTGTGGCCTAGTGGTTAGAACAATTTTTTTTTTAAATGATTTTTATTAAGGTTTCAGTAAAAAGTTAAACAGAAAAACATAAAAAAGAAATACACAAATACACAGTACATAATCCAAAAAAAGGGAAAAAAAACCACAGAGAACAGAAAAAAAAAAAAGAAACAGAACAATTAAAAACAATATCACCTTTTCATTTCCGTTTTTAAATTTACTTATTTTCTGGACCTCCTCATACCTCCCTCTTTTGTATTCCAGTCCAAATTGTTTGTCCAGCAATTTCTTTTCCACTTTTTTAATCCCAATCTTTAATCTTAATGTAATATAGCATTAAAATTTTACCTCTTAAGTACCAAATTTCCATTTCCTTAAACTTCTTTAATCCTAATCCTTAATCTTAGTCTATCTATAACTTTAAATCCTGTACAGCTGGAAACCACTTATTTTCAATCCAACATCACTCTAACATTCTTTAATTTTGCAGTGTTTCTGTAGATAATCTTTGAATTTCTTCCAATCTTCCTCCACCGACTCTTCTCCCTGGTCACAATGTTAATGCCATGCAACTCAAGGCTGAAATGTATATATTCTTGGAAATGTACAGTTTAATCTTTTATCTCTTATTTTTATCCTGCTTTGCAGACTCTTGTTGTCTCCTAAAGCAGCTGACACCGATTTAAAAGAAGGTGAGACAAGTCCTGTCCTCAGGTTTGGAAAGTCCAAAGACAAGAAATCGAATGGAAGGGATGTGGAGGAACAAGGCAGAGGAAGAGCCCCTTTCCCAAGGCCCAAGGAGAGGCCTGAGATGTCCCCAGGCAAGTCCTGTCCTGCTGGGGCCAAGCTGCCCTTCCCCACCCCCAGCTCTTCTTGGACAGAGATGCAGTTGCTGACCTTGTAGGCCTTCATGCCCAACTCCAAGGGGGCTGTGGGGCTCAAGCCCCTCTCCGATTCCCCTGGGGAGCTTATCTTTTTTCTTTTTTTTTGAATAATTTTTATTAAGGTTTCAATCAAAAATTAAACAGAAAAAAACATTAAAAAGATACACAAATACACAATGCAAATCCCAGGGGGAAAAAAAAACACGAAAAGCAAGAATCAACAATAAAAAAAGAAACATAACAATTACAAACAATATCTCTTTTCCATTTCCGTATTTGAATTTACTTATTTTCTGGACTTCCTCGTACCTCCCTCTTTTGTATTCCAATCCAAATTGTTTGTCCAGCAATTTCTTTTCCACTTTTTTAATCCCAATCTTTAATCTTAATATAATATGTAACACTTAGACTTCTTTAATCCTAATCTTTAATCTTAATGTAATATAACATTAAATTTTTACCTCTTAAGTACCAAATTTCCATTTCCTTAAACATCTTTAATCCTAATCTTTAATCTTAATCTATCAATAACTTTAACCTGTACAGCTCCCTGGGGAGCTTATCTGGCCCCAAAGGCGGCAGCAGGCAGTGCCTGGCAAATGCACTTGAGGGGCTCAGTTGCAACTGCCTTGCCATACACTAGGTTCCAGGATGGGTTGGGTGGGTGTTTATGGAGCATTGGTAGTCATAATGGTACAGTGGTACCTCAGGTTACATGCACTTCAGGTTACAGACGCTTCAGGCTACAGACTCCGCTAACCCAGAAATAGTGCTTCAGGTTAAGAACTTTGCTTCAGGATAAGAACAGAAATCGTGCTCCAGTGGCGCGGTGGCAGCAGGAGGCCCCATTAGCTAAAGTGGTGCTTCAGGTTAAGAACAGTTTCAGGTTAAGAACGGACTTCTGGAACGGATTAAGTACTTAACTCGAGGTACCACTGTACCTTGGTTCTCAGACTTAATCCGTTCTGGAAGTCCGTTCCAAAACCTAAGCGTTTCCAAACCAAGGTGCGCTTTCCCATAGAAAGTAATGCAAAACGGATTAATCCGTTCTAGACTTTTAAAAACAACCCCTAAAGCAGCAATTTCACATGTATTTTACTATCTAATGAGACCATTGATCGATAAAATGAAAGCAATAAACATTATACTGCAGTCACACAGATTCCCCTGGGGGGCTTACATGGGCCCCACAGGCAGCAGGCAGTGCCTGGCAAATGGCCCCCACCTGCTGAATTTCTGCCTGCCGGAATAATCATAAATGTGGAAACCAGTCCAAAATAGAAAGAAGGAAGGAAGGAAGGAAGGAAGGAAGGGAAGAGATAACAAGAAATTATGCAAATACACAGGCTTACTTGAGGGGCTCATATGCAACCACCTTATCCTACAGGTTCTAGGATGGGGTGGGTGGGTGTTTATGGAGAATTGGTAGCCTGGCCCCAAGGGCTCCTCGCCCTCACAAAGGGAAGAGAGCTGGGTTTCAGCAAGACCCAAGGCAGCCATTCAGCCTCCAGGCTTCCTAGAGGCGTCCAGAGCAGACTGGCGAAACAGGGCTTATATACACTTCCGCCCGCCCCCTGGCGACACCCACCTAGGGCAGGATTGGCCGCTTTGCACTAGGCGGCCAATCCCAATGCAGGCTTCAGAGGCCTGTCCTGCCTTGTGATGCGGACTCAGCTGAGAGCAGGAGACCCCAAGGAGCAGACAGAACCCCTGGCACACCCCCTTTCCTGGGAGCAACCGACTGCAAGGCCTCTGCGTTGCCCCACAGACAAGGGCCAAGGTCGGAAGGTGGCTGGACTGGCCCAGTCAAGGGCCTCCCTGATAGGAAATAGAAATAATACTGAATATGTTCAGTGTTTTATTATGATTTTATATATGTTGGAAGCTGCCTAGAGTGTCTGGGGAAACCCAGTAAGATGTTTGGAGTTTAAATAGTAAAATCATCATTATGCAATGGGACATCTCTCTTTTTATCGGAGAAATGTTGGAGAGTATTCTGTGGTTAGGCAATATAAGGCCCTTATATTGGTGGGGGTGTGGGGGAATTGGGGTGGGGGACGACTAAAAATTACTTTACGCAGTGTAGAAGTGGCTTCAAAGCACTTCATTACAATGATGAAATAGAAGTGATCTGTAAGTGCAAACATTCCAAAAAGAAGATTGAAAGAAAATGCTCCCCAACTGCTGAATTTCTGTCTGGCAGAAGGATAGTAAATTTAGAAACCAGTCCAAAATGGAAGGAAGGAGGTAAGTGCCGTATTTTTCGCTCTATAAGACGCACCAGACCACAAGATGCACCTAGTTTTTGGAGGAGGAAAACAAGAAAAAAAAATATTCTGAATCTCAGAAGCTAGAACAGCAAGAGGGATCACTATGCAGTGAAAGCAGCAATCCCTCTTGCTGTTCTGGCTTCTGGGATAGCTGCGCAGCCTGCACTCGCTCCGTAAGACGCACACACATTTCCCCTTACTTTTTAGGAGGGGAAAAGTGAGTCTTATAGAGCAAAAAATACGGTAAGTAAGTAAGTAAGTAAGGGGGAAGAGATAACAAGAAATTCTGCTTCTCTTCCTCATGGAGCTTTGCCTCCAACATCCTAAGGGGCATAACCCCTCACCCCCCTGAGAGCTCCAATATAAGAAGGTTATGGTGGCAGCTGTCAACCTTCCCTTTTTTTGGCAGGAAATTCCCTTATTCCAGCGCCGTTTCCCGCTGCTTCCCGCTGCTATCCCGGATTGTTAGATATCCCGTAGACTGCCCCCAGGATAGGTGAGGCTGCTGATCCCTTATTTTTGAGGCTGCTGATCCCTTATTTTCAAATCTGAAAGTTGACAGCTATGGTTATGGTGCTTTAATGCCCAGGGAATAGCAGGTGGTGGTGATGATTTCATAAATTTATATGCCACCCTTCGTGCGGGCTGTTAAGTTGTGGGTGAACATATGAGACGACACAGCGATTCTTCAAACAGCTCTTGTTTATTTACAGGTCAGGACAGAACTGAACTGAAGGGTTCAGTCAGCCTGCTTATAGAGAACTCTAAAACTATCCAAACACTGAACGTCACTTTTGATCCCTTATTTGCATAACTATCTACAGTATCCCCCCCGCTGGCCCAGGGTGAGAACTTCAGTACATAACACGGGCCATTTCAGCGACAGAACCCTCAAGGGAAGAAGGGCTTCTTTGCAGCCTCCATTCTAGAGGTGGACAGGAGCCCAGAGACCCCTTAGACCCCCCCAGCAAGAGGCCGAGAGGGACAGAGCTTTGCAAGCAGAGGCTGCTGTTCCAGGAAAGGTCTGGCTGCTTCTCTGGGAGCCATTGGCAGCAACTCTGCCCACCCCAGAAGATGATGAGCTCTATTGGCTAGCCTGGAGTGTCAATCAGCCAGCTAGGGAGGGCGGGCTCAGCTTCCCAGGTGCCTAGCCAGGTAGGCTGCGCAAGATGAGCAGGTTAGGTGAGGGAAAAACTTTGACATTTTATTCCTTATGTCTTCAAGAACATGACCAACGGCATCCCAAAGGGAGCAGGGGACTCTGTGCCCCCAAAAGGGAACCAGACCATCTTTGGAAGGCCAGGTAGCCACCCCAGCTGGGGCTTTGCTCCTGGATGAGGTCCTTCTGGCTCCCAGGACTGTCCTGACGGTCAAGGAGCCTCTCAGCTAGCTCCGTCCAGCCAGGCCTTGGCCAGCCCCTGATTCCCAAGGAGGACCTCCAGGCTCCCTGGTCCTTCTGGTCTTCTTCCGGGAGAGGCTGGTTCTCCATCCTCGGCCACCTGGGCCTTGGGACCTCAGCTGGAGTCACCCAGGGACTGTCCAGGATTTACAGAAGCTGCAGGTCGGAGCTAAACACAACAGCATAACCAGAGCACGGTATATGACTGGTATCATTGACATTTGTATTTAGAAACTACACCAAAGAGCTTCGAATTAATCAAGAATTTGGTCGGTAAGGCAGGCTTTAAT